TTGCACTCAGATTTAGCGCGGGTTTTGCATTTGTAAGTGCAATTTTTAGGTAAGTTACCTCTATCTTATAATGGATTTGGATATTCCTATCCATTATTTTCTATTGGTTTTTGCTTAGTGTTATTTACATAAAAGGGGGAAGGTTGCCTAGTCAAAAAACATGTTCAACCCCACTTTTATATGAATTATTTTATATATTAGCTGTCCTAAGTCAGTAATGTTTATAACACTGCAGCATCCATTTTATAATTTTTAATCTCGATTACTCGTATGTCCTTCATTGTGTGATTTTCCTACTGTCTATGTGTTTTTCGAATGTTATTGTTTGGATTTATCTCTTGTTTGTAGAGAATTAGCCTATATATATATATATATATATACTACCGTAATGGACAAAGAATGAAAATATTAGGTTTGTACGTCGTCAGAGGCGTATCTATCACCGTATCAATGATACAGGGCCCCCAAGCTACATGGGCCCCAACTCGTATATTCAAATAATCGTAAAATGTTAAGGGGCCTCCAAAATTAATTACGCCAGTGTGTGTCATGTTTCAAAATTTTATTGAATATTAGTGTTCATAAGGTATTCAGATACTAGGTATAACTATTTTTAAGAAAAACGAATCTTTGAGCCATTTAACATAAAAAGAAGGAAACAAACTGATATGCTTCGTATATAACAAAAGAGGATGCCTTTAACTTATAATTAATGATTCTATTGTTAAGTTTTTTCAAAAGAAAACGAAAGAATCTTTTCTTTTCTTTTTTTTGACTATTTAGTTCTTCGTCAAATTTGAACTCCACAATTACATATTTCTATAATATCTATCATTTTTATCTTATTTTAAAACTCGAACCATGAAACATTTTTCAGCATTAAAATGATGTTTATAATTATTTTCTATTTTTTTGAATCCATGTTTATACAATATTAAGGGACTCAAAATATGTTTGGGTTAACAAGCAATCAGCGATTTTTAGAATCATCCATTTTTTTTCAAGTTATAAATTAAATACTCTTATATTTAACCTCGAACACAAAAATCGTCTTTAATTACCACAAAATTATTTGCCATTTTGTATCACAGATTGAATCGTGCCAAAAAAGGCGATAGATACTTTTATCTGGTAGATCAATTAGAAACCTTTCCTTTGTGTGTATTTATGCGAATTCGATGGGGGAATTGGAAGCGGGGCTACAGCAGCGCCGCACTGTGGACACACTCGGTCGTAAGCTGTCGGGCCGTGTAATCGAAAAGAAGAACTCCGGCGGCATTACACGAATGCCCAAAAATGCCCGGGAAATTGATCTTCAACCAATGGTTTTAATGGACCAATGAGAAGCGAGAATGCGGGGTTGTAGCAGACCGTTGGAGCTCAATGTTATAATTAATTGGAGAAGAAGGGATTTTTTCCCCTTTTTTTTTTTTTCTTCCTCCGTTTTTTTTTTCTTTTTCTCAAAAAACATCTGAAAGATTGGGAAATACATTATTTTTTAATACGGATGTGCGTATAAGTGTTATTTTTCCTGTTTCCTTTGAGTTTGATTTTCTTTGTCTTCTCAGTGGAATGAGGGAGGAGGAGGGGGGAGTTAAAGAAAGGATATTTGCTATTTTCGATGACGATTTACAATTTGTTGCTTAAATATTTGCTGATAATACAAAATGCGCATTGCTTTCTCTTTTTCGTTGCGAAATTATTGCTTTGAAAAATATGACAATCTAACACGATCATAAATATTCTAAATTAAAAAAAAAACCCGCACACTGATTTTACATTTAATAACAAAACATATAATATAATATTGCCAATTTTTAATCTCAGAAGAGCATTTTTTTGTCATAGTGTCCTACTTAGAGCCATATTTCACTTTCTCAATCACAACATTTAACAGCCATTTCTTAAAATCTCCATTTTCTCATTATAAAGAAATACATTATATTCTTAATTAGAATGAAAAATGTACTTAAATTATTCCTCAGACAGTGCTATTGGAAAAGTATGATACCGGGGAATTAGTATTTCGTAATAGGTCTTATTGTAAAATATTGTATAACAATAGTTTTACTTATATATTTCATTATCTTAAAGAAAAATACATATAACTTATGATAAAGAAAAATAAATGGTTTATTTAATTATTTTTTCAAAATAAATAATTTAAATCTGGCAATCTGTGAAAGATATAAGTACAGTTCCATATCCTTTTAAGAAAAGGAATTTATCTCATTTCTAAACTAAAGATGTATTATAACTTAAACGTGTAAAATTGTTGATCGAGGGCTATTGGCGACGGATCTCACAATTTTGAAATATGGTGAAGTGACAAGGACAACACCTTAGCTGGCACCCTACTCTTCTAACTTCCAAACCACTCCAAAGTCAGCTCCCTTGACATTCTGTGTCTTCAGTGGCATTAGGATCCAAACTCCCGACACACAGGTCACGAGTTCAAGACATGCATTTGGAATTCGAAGCTGTTACAAGCAGTTAATGCAAATCGCGAGTATAACGTGACACGGGAAAAACACTGAATGCATTCCACAGGCTAGACTCGGTGACGCGCGAAATGGAGTAGGGGCATTCAATAAAAATGTGTGCCTATAGATGAACTATAAAAAATGCATTCGAAAATATAGTTTCTTCACTTGTAAATAACAGAATATCTATATAAATAAACAATTGCTCCCGCAGTTAGAAAGTCACAAAAACTATGAAAAATGTAGTATAAAAGCTATAAAACAAAAAATATGACGTGCTTTCGAGTATTTCCAAAGTCATTTAATTTAATAAAAATGCCAAAAATTAAATTTTGATCAAACACATTGATTTGACACATTTTAAGGTAATATTTATATAAAAAGAAAATAATAGTGTTTTCAACGGCATATAGTTATCATAGAGTTAAAGTGTGAGTGAAACATTTAAAGATTACTTGATACCTTAATAAAGTTTTAAGGTACCACAAGTAATCTGAAAATATGATAGTTTTTGGATCTTCCTGTACTCCTAAATTCTAACTTCTCTTCCGCAAATTTTTGTTAATTGAATAAAATTTTAAGCAGTTTTCCCCACGTATTAAAATTCTACTCCGAACTTATAATAAATTTGCATTAATTTATTTTACTGTTCATTGCTCTGTGGATCATACTTCGTTTAATCCTATTTCGAATTTACAATAATTTACATTATTGCAACATTGTCCCATGGATATTAAAAAGTTAAATCTCGAGGAATTAAGAAAAATGTCTTATAAATATAAGAAAAGGAAAAATTTTTCAGTATTTTACCTGTTATTAAATAGACATTTGTGTTTTAGCATAAAAAAATGCCTTCTATTTTATAATACTGTAGTAGATTTGTTATTGCACTTTAAATCAGGGTTATAATTTTTATTTTAATGCAAGTGCTTATAATGACTAAGAGTTTCCCAACGATTATGGTATTCTTATATTTTAATAATAAGTAATACCGATATAGTAAGTAAAACCAATAGAATGTATCTCTGAATTGCATTACATCCCTTATTTATAAAAAATGCACATATTATATGTTTTACTCAAATTAAAAGAAATATGTTCAAGATAACTAAAACGACACACAGATTTCTTTTTTTTCTTATTATTTATTTGGATTATGTTTCTTCGTTTTAAAGAATAAACACAGCACAATCGTATTCTCAACTGATATGTGGGGCTGCGGTAGCCCAGTGGTCAAGGTATCGGATCATGGCAGGCATGTCATGAGTTCGAGCCCAGTACCACTAAAGACCCGCCGTGTAGGGTAGCGATGCATGTTAAATCTGTCGAGAGCTGAAACGTCCTCCTGTGGTAGTTAGGAGAGGGGGTGCCAGCTCAGGTGTCGTCCACGTCACTTGACCATGGCTCAAAATTACGTGGTCCGTCACCAAAAGATTTCGTGTCGCTGAATAGTGCGACGTTAGTATTCACTCACTCACTCAACTATTATGTGACAGATCGAATTAATTGTACACGCTTTGAATGCATAATTAAAAGGGACACATATAAAAGCACCAGCTCTATTGATAATCTGACATTACTGATACGGAAAAACCATTTAAATATCATATCTTTTAAAAGCAATTATTTTTTTTATAAAGAAATTCATTTGCATGTTAAATATAATCATTCATTTCAATTATCTCTGAAAAGTAATTATGAACCTTAAAGAAGAATGCGATGTAAAAGCAGTCTTGTTTGTAGTCTCGTGATGAAAGGCATTGCAAAATTTTTATAAAACCTCTCTAGAATGGTGAGGAAAAGAATTCCACGGCGAAAACGGACAAGATATCTCTCCCCATGATTGAGTCGTTCATGTCAGAGGCTAAAAGGGAGGCGGTCGAAATCCCAGCCCAAAAACGACGCAATCGTTTGTCATCCTTTCCAACAATCCCCACAAGAGTCCTTAATTCGTGTTCTTGTGCCCCGCTCTTGGATTGAACACTGATTGCGATAAGGTTAATGGACTCAGACCTCCCTCTGGGACCATCGTTCACTGCAATATGTGTTTTACAAGCGTTTTTTTCTTTCACTTCTGTTTTTTGAACTTCTCTCGGTAATTTATTCAAATGTTTCAATAGATTTTTCCACTTTAAACAGTGGCACGCGGTTTATAACAATTAATATTATAATTTAATATTTTGTGTTTGAAAACTTCTGAATGAGGATATAATGTTTTCTGATAATACTATAATTGGATTTATTTGTTATTTGATTTTATTCATTTCCTCTACTATTAGTTCACTCTCTCCCTATATATATATAATATATCTTGTTCAAATGTTCAATCGTTGATAAAATACTTTCTATTCATTCACTGAAGTTCAAATACATTTTTTTAAACTTGTAGTGGATGACCCTTGATGTTAATACAGTTTTTTCAAATATTAATTCATTAATTAAATTAAAAAATGAATACATAGTAACAAACAAAATAATAGTCCAAAAGCATATATAGAAAGGAAAATTGTTCCTTGTGTCTCTGTAGCGTGATGGACAGCACGTTGGACTTCTAATCCAAAGGTCGTGGGCTCAAGTCCCACCTGGGATGGCCCAATTTCTGAGAATGTGGTTCATTTTTTACTATACTATTTTATTAGAATAATTAAATTTAATTTATGAATAAATAGTAACAAACAAAACAAAAATAGTCCAACACCGTATATAGAAAGGAAAATTGCAAAAAAAATCCCTTTCTATTTTGTTGCTTAATATTGTGATTCTGTCATATGTCTATATATATTTATATTAATTGTAACTATTTAATAAAAGTAACTCAAATAAAAATTTTCTTTGTTGACCGAAGTAGGAATTAACTTAATTTTTTTATATATATTATTTGTTTTTTATTAAAATCGCACTCTATAAGAGCGCTTTAAATACTCCATATGTCGTGCAAGAATGTTATTTCGCATATACTACCCTCTAATGTATTATATCATTTATCTCTTAGCAGCAAGATATAAAAGATAAAATTTTGCTAGTCGTTAAATTAAATTATAAATTTATGCTATAGACTTACTGAATCCTTCATTTTGACTGATTTCAGACTACATGCGTAAAACTACAAAAACGATTACTATAATATTTTGCCAATCTATGCTGACAATTATTGGTGTAATGAGAGGAATATATACTCTTATTTATTTCCCCATCAGTCCAATATTTTCAGAATTCTGTCTGATGTATACTCATCTCTACGGATACAAGTCAAAAATCATGGGTATAAGCCCATTTCAGAACAAATCGCAATAAACCCGGATTTTTTCAAAAAAAAAAATATTTTTCTGGTGACGAATGTAAAAGTAGCACTAAATAAAAATAATTAAATAAAATAACTTAGATACTAAATGAGAACTATAATTCCACGTAGATATCTTTTGATGACTTAGGATCCAATATCAACGCGTCGCGTGAATGTAAATGGACTATTGAATGTATGCAAGAAATGCACGAAATAACTGAATGAACAGTTAAAAGTTTGTATATTTATGTTTATTTAAGTAATACTGACATACTAAATTAACTTTTTTGTCTGTTATATATATAAGACTGTGAATATTTTTAAATTAAACTAATCGCTTTTTTTTAAATACCTGGTACACTGTATCTATCAATTTGACGAGTATAGATAAAGACAGGTATACAAAAATGTGTCTGCAAACCTAATGTTAATCATATACTAAATAATTTCGAAAGAACGAGAAAGTATAAGAAAGTATAAGTTCTAAGTATTGAATATATGTGTATTTGTTATTCAGTTACTTAATCCAATCATTAACTTCATTAAATTTCACATGTTAAAAATCTTAAACGTTAAAAGTATTGAGAAACATATTCTTTAAACGAATTCAAGAAATGAATTTCGTTTCATCTCTGAAATATAACTCCACAAAAAAACTTAAAATTTCTGAAAAATGACAATATGTCATATGTGAAATTAGAAGAAACGGTATCCGAGTAAATGTTTCAAAGCAAGACCGCGAATAATAAATGAGCATAGACAGAAAATAAAATAGAAGCTTATGATTTTACTCTTTTTTTACACATATCATTGGCTAATCGAATGCGTGCTAGTGCAGTCTTATTGTATTAATGTAAAATACAATTTTGTCTCATATATCTAATGTTACTTTTTAATTTGTATAGTTTAATTCAATAATTATTATAATATTTTAGACTAAATTCCATTCTAATAAAGAATTTTTATTCATTCACGTCTAAAATTTTAAAATATATGTTTCTTTCCTCTACCTTTTTTTTAGCATCAGTTTTAAATTGGCCAAATTTTCTATCTTATGAATTTTTGTTTCATTGCTTTTGTTCATAATTATTATTACTTTACACACACTCAAAGTTCATATTTATTTTATTCAAATTATTAACCATAGAAACTGAACAAAAATTTTAATAAGTTTTTAGAACTTTAAAGTGATAGAATTTTTTTTAAAGAAAATATTTTCTTTATAAGTACTGACTACTTTTATTCTAGTGGTATTTATTTGTTTGATTATTATCTATTTATATTTATTGTACTATTTAAAATATGTTATTTTAATTGTTTATAGCATGAAATAAGGAAATAGTTGCAGAATGAACGGAAATAAATTCCACATTTTATCTGTGTAGATTAATTTATTTAACCACTCTTTATATTTTGAAAAGAAATCATTTCATGGGCACAAAAATTTCTGAAAGTAGATTAATTTAAACTAAATATTTATTTTATGTGGTTTTAACTCTCTTTTTCAATTTATTTAGACTACATGAATTAAGTGTAATGATTAAACTGAACTAAACTCAGTGGCGCAACAGCCCATGAGGGCCAAGGCATACTGTGTCCAAATCAGTTTACGGGGCCTTGGGCGCTGAGGTGCATGAGCAAATGTTCCGATCAGGTTACCAGTCTGACGCGAAACCCTCATTGTTTATTTTCCAAGCAAGCTTGGTACTCATTTTATTTACCCACTGAAGGGATGAAAGGCTGAGTCGACCTTTCCCAGCCCGGGGTTTGAACCCTAGACCTGTGACGCTACCACTAGACCACCGGATGTCAGTGTAATAATTATAGCCTCCGTCTAATTTATTTTTTGTTGAAATCTTACATTTTATCAGTTTTATATATTTAGATGTAGTAGTGAAGAATATTTATTACTTAATTTTATATGAAACTTCTTGAGTAATTAAAATAAATTTTATATTAACCATTTAAATGATAGTTTTCAACAGTTTGTGTTTTCGATGATAATTATTAATTTTTTTTATCAGTATACAGCCATCAGTTATGTTTGAACACGATGTACTTGCAGCATTAAATCTTAATTCATTAATAATCTATAGGATTAAGTGCTTTTTATTGTTTAACATTAAACTATTTTTTTATTTATTAAATTGAAGTAATATGATTTAGTCCCAAAATAAAAAAAATGAAATCAATCAGATAGTCAACGTAAAAAATGTATTGTACCGTTGTGTAGTTTTAGAAATTAAATATAGCAATATGGCTGAGATAGTCTTATATATAATGTAACGGATTCTTAATCAATATGGCTATCGTACCGTGTATCATATATTCCGCCTGATACCATATATTTTATGCATCATATTCCCATAAAGACTGTTAAGTAGCTGAGTTAATACTTGTTATATTTATCGATGCTCAAAGTCCTCCGGTTGGTGGGGAGCTATTGAGTATGGAATGCCAAACCAAGTGCTAAACTCGTCATTTGACTGAGGCTCAGAGTTATGAGGTATATTGAATTGCTAAAGGGTGGACATTTCAGTCGGGGAGTGAATGAGTGAGAGTTAGGATGTAAAGTGAGTGAATGAGAGTTGGGATATATTTAGTGTCGCACCATAAGGCAACACGAGGGCTACTGGCGACGAACATTGTAATTTAGAACCATGGTCAAGTGACGATGATGACAACAGTGCTGGAACCCATTCTCCGAACTTCCACACCATGCAAATGGGAGGACTTTGAACCTCGACAGATTTAATGTGCATCAGCCATTCTACACGGCGGGTTTTTCAGTGGCACGGGCTTGAACTGGTGATATGCCAGCCACTCAGTAGCGTACACAGAAGTTTTCCAAGGATAGAGGGGGTCCAGAGTCGAAAGTCCACCATTCTTGTACCATGCTCCTTTTGATTTTGTCGATTTTTGGGAACCAAAAACAGTAAAAAACTAATTATTGAATAAATAATTAGTATTAATTAATAAAATTAATCATTAAAAAACAAATATTTAGTTAAATTTTACGTATTATATACTTAAAATTATAATCAATCGGGAAAGAAATCAAGGGCTTTGGGGGAGGGTTCGGACCCCTAGGACACCCCCTTGTGTGCGCCACTGCAGCCACTAGTTTGTGACTATAACCACTAGGCTACCACGGTCACTTCAGTTGGGCAAAATAGGAGTTGGAACTGAGCTGGAAACTGAAAAAACAACAAATAATACATATATTTTTTAATTTCATCTATTCAAGTCATTCTTTTATGAAATATCCTTGTGAATTGACTATGCGTGTGCTATGGAGTTATAAAAGAAAAATGATTGCGAATAAAACTATTTTATTTGTTTCATTTACATTTTTAAAATTATAATCCAGATTTTGTTTATCATATAGTAATACACTTCTTCCAAAGTTAGTGGCCACGGTAGCCTAGTGGTCAAGGTATCGGATCGTGCCTGGTTTGTCATAAGTTCGATCCCAGTACCACTAAAGACCCACCGTGTAGGGAACGAGGCACGTTAAATCTGTTGAGAGCTCAAACGTCCTCCAGTTGGTGTGGTGAGGGTAATTAGGAGACGAGGTTGCCAGCTCAGGTGTTGTCCTCGTCACTTGACCATGGTTCAAAATTACGAGGTCCGTCGCCAAAAGCCTTCGTGTAGCTGAGCAGTGGGACCTTAATATTCACTCACTCTCCGAAAGTTAGAGCTCCCCCAAGAAGACCACATTCGTCGATACTCTTACTCACCCCCAACATATCCTTTACCAATTAAACTTTGTATGAATAAGCAATTCCTCCCACTTTGAATCCAAAAGGAGCATTTCACAACACCTTAAACATTCGGCTCGAAATAGAAATAAGGAACAGAGAAAAGGGAAAAAAGAAGGGGGAGGAGAATAAAAAAAACCGTGCTAACTTCCAAAACCTCTTCCCATTGTCCGTCTATTTGGAGGCTTCCAATGACAAATGGATGCTTCCAGCAGCGAGAGGAAACGAACAACATCAAGTGGTGTTAAAGGAGGTAGGAGGGTCGGCGAAAAGCGATTTCAAAAGTCTTTCAAAGCGTTCTCCTTACACGGATTATAAGTTATCCAGGCGTTGGAGAGGGGAAGGAGCAATGCTCAGACTCATCAGCTTCCCAGGAGACTTTCTCCTCTAAGAAATGGATGGAGAATGCGGAAGAATAAAAGTCCCACTTTCTTCATTCGAGTGTCTTCCCTCCTACGAAAGTTCTTTCTTTTTTTTTTGCTTTATTTCTTGGTGGCCCCCTTCTTGTTTTTCACTTTGCGTCTTTCTACTATTAATGATGCTGCC